TATTTCTTTTGCAAACGTTTTAAAACATATTCCGTTTTTGTAATTAATTCTGAAATATGACTCAACCTTTACTCGAATCTGATTGGCTGTAGGATACAGGATAGGATAGGATAGGATTGGATTAACTACTATATGTTTCTATCGTGAACCCTCAATCCTGAATCCTATCCAAACCCATCCCATGTCAACTTGTGGGATAGCAGCACTGTACAGCATGTGAACTATATGCCTCTTGATAAATTACAATCGGAATTTCCGTTTAAAAACTATTTAAAGTTAAAAAGAAAACCATAAGTCATCTTACTCGTCGAAAAAGTTATACTTATCCGAAAGTAGATACGCTTGCATAATCATCTGATCAAATCCTATCCAATTAGTTGTTTTGTTTTACAAAAATTGGTCAGATTTCTATCCAGATTGTATGCTGCGCAATTTCAAGCATTAAACATTTATCCAAAAAGTGTTCTTCTGTTTAACAAAATGTATTTGACTTTTGATGATAGAAACTTCCTCTTCTTCCTGACTAACTTTTCAAATTCCGTCTTTTGCGTTTCCTCTCTAAAACATTTATTCCTTTGAAATGGGAAAAAATAGAATTTAAATATCTTTTTAATAGGAGCGCAAATATGCTTTTTTTTTTTTTTTTTGTTTGTTAATCGTTATCAGTTCCCTCTCGAGAATTTTTTACTCATATGGAGACGCCACCACTTGCCAGTGAAGAGCTGCAAATTTTGATCTATACTCGCCACTTAGGGCCATTGAGCAGTCAGGGATCTTTTTCGTGCCAGCACCTACTGCGGTTTATACGGTCTTATCGAAGGACAGGTCTCCATGTCCCACGGTGGGATTCGAACCCGCGACGTAAGGATAACTTCTTACTCCGCGACTCTAGAGCGAACGCTCTTATCACGCGCAAATATGTAAAACACGTCGAATAGTTACAGTTTTTGTTCAAGATTTTTATGATTCACAATTTAAGCTCTTATCGTGCTCCATACATTCACTCCAAAATTGAAGCACACCAAAGATCATAATTATTTTCTGATTGGATAATTTAATGTTGGGAGAATTCATTGTGTCTACCAAGATGGATCGTTGAAGATATTTGAATTACCATATCTGTATTGGATTCCGATACTTCATAAAAATCCCTACAATCAAAGATACATAGCGGGTTCCAGTGAATGTTCTACCAAGCCTTTTTTTAACTAAAATATTTGCGAAAATATTAACAGCAGTGAAGGAGAAACGTCAGGAGTACTGTGCAATAATATGCTCGAGAAGTGGTGTAAATTACATGTGGATACTTCAAAATTCCAAAGAACTTTTGGAAAATTGGAAATCACAGAATTTTACCAAAATTAATAACATAAAAAATATGACCTTTCGACTCTATGTACAACCGTTTCCTGTGGTAAGTTGAGGTCGGTGCTTTTAACGTCGTTGGTGGCTGCTTTTTCGGTAGGATGGAGCTCGTGGATTTTCTTGCTGTGTCGTTGGTCGTTTGCCGGGTTATTTTGTTAAAACATTCTGATTGTAAACACACAAGTTCTCTAAAGTTGGTAGAAAAAAAGCATGCGTTTCGTTTTGACAATATCAATGTGGTTTTTTGGAGACCAGGTCTTTCTACAATCTGTTTGAATACCTATGGGTACTTATTGCGCCTCGTTATTAGCAGAAGTATTTTTGTATTCATATGAAGCAGAATTTATTCAAAAACTTCTACATCAAAAGGATCGTTCACGGTAGCTCAGTCGGTAGAGCACTCGCTCCGTGACCGGGTGGTCGTGAGTTCGATTCTCGGCAGCGACTGACCTAAGTCGATAAAAATAAGTAGCAACTTTGTTTTGCGCTTGGCACATTGAAGTGAAAGTTGCAGGTCCTTCGGATGAGACCCTAAAAACCGAGGTCCGTGTCACGGAGGGCGTTGGCATGATAAGGATTCTTCACTGCTCAATGGCTTGAGTGCCGAGTAACGGTCAAAATTTGAAGCCCTTCACCGGTATATGTGACGTCTCTCTATGAGTGAAATATTCTCGAATGGGACGTAAAGCAACATACAATCAATCTACATCAAAAGAAATCACTTGCTCTGGCCTTTAACTCGACATTTAGAAATATTGACGACTCATCATCAATTTACCATAGCTATCTCATTCTTATGTCAACACGATATATCCCAGTGAGCTTGAGATTAAAGATACCACAGAGCTTGACACATCTGTTTCATTTTTGGATATTTAACTAGAAAAAGACGTGGTAACCTAACAAGAAAACTTTGATAACGTTATGCCTTTAACTTTTCAATCTTCATCTTTCTTTACCTTTGCAGCAATATACCCTTATAATCTGCATACCGGGTTTATATCTTTCAATAAGCAACAGCATTTTCTACATATGAACAATTTATAAAACAAAGCAAGTTATTGACAAACAAGTTGATGAAACAAGAAAGCAACAGTATCATTTAAGGTCGTCATTTCGTTAATTCTATGGTCGATACACTGACCTTGTCAGCAAATACAATTTATCATTAGGTCAAATGCTGACTGACATTTTTCATAGTAATTGTTAGGCCATTGTTTACATAGTAAATTGTCGACGGATATTTTAATATATTTTTTTTGGCTTTTTCCTCGATTATTTCGATTCGCATTTCTCGAGATATAAACCCTTTCATGGTGGCCAATCATTGGTTCACTTTTATCCGAATATATATATTATTATTATTATTCTCCTGTTAATTTCAACAGTACATCTCCGCTTTTCATGACAGAAAATCGCTTTTTTTTTCTGTCTTCTTTATTCACAATTTTTCCCCTTAAAATACGTCGTTAAAATTTTAATGTAAATTATACTGTAACGTTCTTTTGGCAGCGTTATTTTGGTTAAATTGTACAGTTAAATCAATGTTCTCCTGTTAACTTTAACAAGTTGTTCTAATTTGTAATAATAACGGGATGTATGTTTTTTGTCTGCGACTTCTGCGCCGATTTTCTATTTCACCATGCAATAAATATCTTCTGATAAAGGTACTTACTATACTATGAGGTCTTCATAATTATCTGCTGATTTCAGTTAAAAAATTTCCCCTTTCAAAAATATTAACAGCAATTCTGTTTTCCTCCGGTCTTAACTCTTTCCCTTTATTCTAGTTATTAAATCAGATGTAAATGTACGCCACACTTTAATAAATATCAAAACATTAAGCCTATGGGCAACTTCGTTCACCTGAGCACACTAGCTAGGAAGAAACAGAAATCAGTTCAGTATTGAACGGGGGTGGGAGGGGGAGAGAGACAAACTTAAATTTACGCTACTTCAGTATGCTTCCTTATCAGCATTACTTAACTTACTTGACTTTGTTCTTAAACAAAAGAATTTTGAAGATCTTTTTAGGACTTTTTACTCCTATGTAAAACTCTGATCGCTCATTGTGGCCCCACCCTGCCCATCCTTAAATTTGAATCTACATAACCTGAGGATGCTTCTTTAATAATATGACTTATCATAGCGTTGCTGTTCTTGAGCAGAAGATTTTTTGCAAGATGATTTCTATATATTTTTACGCAAAACTTTGACCCTCTGTTGTGCGCCAACCCCTGTGATGTCATTATTCTACAAAACCTAACGTTACTTCTGTGTAAATATGACAAATAAAGCTTAGTTGGTCTTGAAAAGACGATTTTAAAGATATTTCATATGTAACGTGTATGATTAGGTTCTAACAAGGGATATATAGGTTTTCCTTTTACTCTGTCTTTCATTATTGAAATGATTATCAATGCATCTCTGCCTAAGGGTTTATCATACACAATACACTGATATTGATTTAAAGCACTTTACAATAGAAATGAATTTACCAAGAGAATTTTTTAAAAATGTAATTAACTGAGCATTAATTAATAATATTAGAAATAGAATGACAATTGAAAACTTCTTTTATCAGATAAGTTTCTATAATTTAATCTTTTATTAGTTAAAAACGGGAGATAAGGCTTACCAAAATTCAAGGTCATAAATCAGGACAAATCCCATCCTTACATGCTAATAGTAATAAATAGGAAATTGTCTAAATATTTTTAGTATTCAACCCCTACACATCTTTTTTGTATTCAATTTCATTGAATCTTTTGCTATTAGGGATGGATTACCTTAACTTCTTCATTGCTAATTCAATATCCAACGTCTTCTGCTAGCTTCTGATGCCTAACTTTCCCAAAGCATTGTCTTATACACCCTTTGGCTAGTCCATACCAAGGGTTGTCAGGTCATTCCACTATTTCAAGTCATCAATGCATTTTACTCAAATGCCCCTTATCTTTTAAACCTATATATTCCTATGTAAAACTTTCACCCACTGTTGTGGTCCCGCCCCACCCCAGGGTCATGATTTGTACAAACTTCAATCTACACTACCTAAAGATATTTCCTATATATTCTTATGATAAACTTTGACCCTCTGTTGTGGCCCTGTCCTACCCCCAGGGGTCATGATATACATGTGTTAATTTCTAGAACATTTTCTTTTTCATTCAACTTTCCATTTGATTACTTGGTCTTGGTCTGATGTAGTCAAAAGCTATGCAAAATCGTATAGAATTTCACAGATGAATCTGCTTAAAATCTCATTAAATATGAAATACACTTAGATTGGTATACATATTTAAAAAAAACAAATTCATATTAATCTTATTACAAGCAACAATCTATACCTAGGAGTGTCTGTTGGCTGAAGATGCTAGTGTAGCCAATACAACAACCTAACAAACATATATTCACAAAATACTTTTCTCAATCTTGGAAGGAAGCTAATAAATAGATAAATAAAGAAATACTAGCAAGAAACATACAAGTATACTCCACCTACAAATTCTTTTCTAAAAAAAAAAACCCCAAAAATAAAACTCAAAATCTCTAGAAAAAAAAGACACGTAATTTTCCCAGTGATGTTATTATAATTTGGTCACAGTTAAATCATTTTAACTGAAAGAACTTACATTGCTCACTGATAATAGAATGGACGCTCGTATCGCTGATAGTTTTATGGAGTAATATATCTGTATCCAATCTTTCTATCAATTTTTTGGTAAAATCTAGCGAAAGGCAAATACATTCTTCGTTTTCTTCTCGAACGTATCTAAAGGATCGAAAAAATTCCTCTAAAACCATTTTTGGTGCCGCTTTTTTGATGAAGCAATAGTACAACACACTGTCAAACACAGACGATGTTGGTTGATGGAATGGATCTGAAAAGGGTAACGGTAAAATGAAATGAAGAGAAAAAATGCAATGCAACAATATACAGATATATATACTTGATTCTAGTATATTCTTATATGGCTGTTAACCTTCTATGTCTCTAACTCTTTTCTTAGAAAGTGCCATCTCAGTTTTCCTTTCAGCCCCATCCTTATCAGTGCTTTGTGTCAATGATCCTTGAGGAAAGTAGTCTTTAAAGAGAGATCATTTAGTTTAAATGCATTCTATGGATGAAAATAATTCAAATAAATTTATGAATCTGTTAATTTTAACCTCTCTCGGTTTCTTTTTGCAGAAAATCATCCAAAAGTGTTGAAATATAAATAGCTGAGAAGGAGTTTGGTAGATAGATGCATGTTTCCACGTCTAGGCGTTGGTAGCCCTCTAGCCGAAAGTATTTCATTAACAGTTTGACCTGCTTCAATTCAAAAATGTAATCAATTACAACCTTTGGTAAAGGGCACGTTTGAAACAATACACATAGTGTTTCAATTTCCACTTCCTCACTGGCAAACTTCAACATTTTCTCTTCCAAGACTATACTACTCCATAATGATGTTGCCGCTGCTGGTTCGTCTATCAGATTGTTGGAGAACGTAGAGTTTTCGAAAAGATATTTTTTCGTTTCCATACCTAAAATGTTAGCATATACAATATACTAATGTAGAGAAAACTATAAGTAGTAAATGTATATATACCATGATGAACTAAGTGCACAAGAATTCAAGCAACGCATACATGTAATATTATTACTAAACTTATCAGTGCAATTCTTTTAATCTACTTAGTAGTTAGTATAAAAAAAGCTGTATGACAAAGTATAACGGAAAGCTGGTTTCATGATGAAGTCCTAAACAGATATTGTATCTTTATATCACGTTCGCGAAGACAATCCTTGTCATCAGATAAACTGCAATAAGTGTACAGATATATTTTATTGTTTTTACCTTTAAAAACCGTTTCTTATATAAATCTATGCTAAACATGTCTGATATATCCAATGTTTAACTGAGCGGTCCATTAAATATCGATGTTTGACCGCTGAGTGAGATATTGGACCTGTCGAATGAGATATTGGACACCTATGGAAACCAGTACAAGACATATGTATGTAAATAAAATAAGAGGTATAACAAAGCATTTATTAACTTTTTTTCGGGCAAAATGCGTTTTGTCGACCCTCGAACCAAACTGTGCCTAACGGCCTCAGACAAACAGTTTAGTTCTTGTTGTCTTCGTATCCAGTCAATAACTGTGTGATATCGACTTTATTTCTTGACAAAAATACGATTAAAAACTCAGTGTAGATAGGTCTTATTTACAGTCTGCATACCCAGTCTGATGTTAAGTTAGATTTACAAAAAGTTATCGAGAGTGAAATCAAACAACTGTGGTCTTCTACTTTTTGTTATGCATGTCTACTCAGTTCCACAAATCAATGAACTAAAGATATTGAATGATTACTAATTATGTCTTTTGCATCGTTTTCACTAGGTGATTGTTGTTGTTTAATTCGAATTTGACTTGACGTCGCTTTTCGTGCCATACTGGGGCACACATTTCTTTTGGTGTTTTCTTTATAAATCCTCAACATGCATTTTTTTCAATCAATGAATTTTTTAGATTTTAGCTGTATTTTTTAAAATCAAGTTTTAACTCGCCTTTCGGAAAAGAATTTCATTTTAATTTCAAAAAAAAAAATTACAAACTTAAGAACATTTCAACCATTAGCCGTGAACACTATGTAAAACCTTAGGAGACAGCAATAATTACTGTCTAAAGTTAATCTAGGTTACGGGCAATAATCAAAATGCATATGAATAACCATCACCCCTGTAGGCATGAAAAGATCCACTTAAGGCTCAGTCTCTATAAGGCCCGTTGGCTTAGATAACGAAAGGCCAGGGTTCGATTCTCGTTCGCCGCGCACCGTCAACCAGACTTAAACAAAGAAGGTGATTGTTCCATTACCAAGCGCCTGGTATTAAAAGTGAAATTTTTTTTTTAGGATGAGACCTGAAAATCCGTGTTACGGTCGGCGATGGCAGGAACAAAGAACTCTCACCGCATTACTGACCTGAGTGCCGATTAAGGATATGTGCTCTACATCCATGAAGTGTAACTTTTATTTATAAATTCATTCAAATTGTCTCAATACAAAGCTTGAAGTTAATTTTTTTTCCTGCAACAATTTTCATTTCATGCATCTTAATGTAATTCAAGGTTCTTTGAAGTCTCACAAACGATCCCATAAAAATTGATATTTGTACCCCATAAAGGTATTTAAGAAATTACATATTTAAAGAAATCAAATTTCTTTAAATCAAGCCTTCGATAACACATTCCAATATTTATAAGCATTATATGGAATTAGAAGTGATTTATGATATTTTTCCATAATATGAAACGCTTTATACACATGCATTATAAAAAAAAAATTGGAGTAAATACGAAAACAAAAGTACTGTTTAAGTATAAAAATCATCTATTTTCTTCAAAAGCCTGAATACCTTTATACTTTTTATCCTAAAACATATTTGTTGATCAATCTCCAATAATAATAAGCATAGTAGATGTTTATGCTTGTTTTTCTGAAAATTTATTCGAAATTTACTGTTTTCCCCTATGGAATATATTAACTTTAATAGTGACGTTTGAAGAATTTTCGTGGGTACATGTAAACACGCATTACTTTTAGAATTGAGAGATATTTCAATTACCCTGGGGCCTGATTTTCAAATTTCTGAGGATCGAACAACCTTATAGGTCTAATGGGACGTAAAACAACATACAATAAATAAATAAATCAATGAATGACATTCAGTTCGTTCGAAATTTTCAACATTCAACAGGCAGCTGATGGCGCACGGACAAAAATAAATCGAGGGACCTAAAACAAACAAACATCTGAACGATTGATTGATTATATGTTGTTTTACGTCCCATTCGAGAATTTTTCACTCATATAGAGACGTCACCATATACCGGTGAAGGGCTTCAAATTTTGACCTTTACTCGGCACTCAGGGCCATTGAGCAGTGAGGGATCTTTATTGTGCCAACCCCTGCCGTTACACTGGGTCTCGGTTTTTAAGGTTTCATCCGAAGGACCCGCAACTTTCATTTCAAAGTGCCGAGCGCATGGCGAAGGAACAGTTGCTACCTATTTTTTATCGACTTAAATCAGTCGCCGCCGAGATTCGAACTCTCGACCTTCCAATCACGGAACATCTGAACGAAAGACATAAACCTATCCCGTTACAAGTTATGCGAAACTGTAATATTAATCCTAAAAAATTAAGCTTTTAAAATACCTGATTATTTAAACGAAATATAAAAGACTACTTTTCAATTTAACTGTAACCGTCGCGGTAGTTCAGTCGATAGGGCGCTCGCTCTGTGATCGGAAGGTTGTGTGTTCGAATCACGGCTGCGACTGACTTAAGTCAATAAAAATAGGTAGTAGCTGTTCCTTCGCCGAGCCCGAAGCTCGGTGCAGGTCTTTCGGATGAGACGTAAAAAACCGAGGCCCCGTGTCACGATAGGCGATGGCACGAAAAATAACCCCCACTGCTTAATGGCCCTAGGTGCCGAGTAAAGGTGTAAATTTAAGTACACTTCACGGGTATATGGTGACGTTTCTATATGAGTGAAAAGTTCTAGAAAGGGACGTAAAACAACACAGGGTCAATTAATAATCAATTAATTTAACTTTAAGTTAAATATATTTATCAAATTGAAAAAAAATATTTATTGTCTCATATAGTCATAATGCATCTCGTTCACTTGGCGATTTTTTATATAACTAAATCTGAAGCTAGAGACGTTTTTTTTTATTGGAATATAAATCATGTAGATAAATGCCGTTAAAATGTTTTTTTTTTTTTTAATCAGGGGCACATTAAGGGGGCCGACTTGAGTTTTGATTGCATAATATTTTTACATAATAAATAAAATTTAACAAATTTAGGAAATCTCAGGTTAAAAATCTAATTACCTTTTTAAATAACTGATTTTTTAAACGATTTTTCATATGATGGTACATGTAGATAGACGTGGTAAAAGTGTGTTTTTGACATATGAATAGCCGAAGTTCTTTAAGCGGGGTCATTAATTATGCAATTAAATAAAAAAAAGTATGAAATATATTCTCTTAAAATTTTAAACATAGGAAATTGAGAATCTTACGATCATTTTTATTATTTTTATGTAAATCTTTGGTATCTGCCATGTTTTGTTGTACTTCATGAAATATATGGAGATAACGAACAGTATTCAAGCTCAAAAGTCCATTAAACAATACAAAATAGGAGCAGAGCAAACACGGACCTCTAAACATCAGAGGCGGGATCAGGTGCCATGGAGGAGTGAGCATCCCCTGCCGACCGGTCACACCCGCCGTGTGCTCCTTGTCATGATCGGGAAATAACGGAAAAATCCGTCGACAATTCAGTGTGTAAATAATGGCCTAACAATTAGTATGAAAAACGTCAGTCAGCATTTGACTCAATGATAAATTGTATTTGCTGACAAGGTCATTGTATCGACCATAGAACTTACGAAATGATGACTTTAAACGAGACAGCTGATATTCTTGTTTCATCAACTTGTTTGTCAATAATTTACCTCGTTTTAGAAATTGTTCATACGTAGAGCATGCTCTTGCGTATCGAATCAACTGAGAGATATATACCCCGTATGCAGGTGATGAAGGTATATTGCTGCAGAAGTAAGGGAAATTGACGATTGAAAAGTTAAAGTCATCACGTTTATCATAAAGCTTGGTTGTTAGATTACCATTAACGTCTTTTTGAAGTAAAATATCCAAATATGAAACAGATGTGTCAGACTCTGTGGTATCTTTTATCTCAAGCTAACCAGGATATATCGTTTCGACATAAGAATGAAAATAGCCATTGTTAATTGACAATACATCGTCGATATATCTAAATGTCGAGTTGAAGGCCACAGCAAGTTTTTTCTTCTTTTCACGTACAAGATTTTGGACAAATTCTGCTTCATATGAATACAAAGAAAGGTCTGCTAATAACGGGGCGCAATTGGTACCCATGGAAATTCCAATAGATTGTTAGAAGACCTGGTCTCCAAAAACCACATAGATATTGTCAATCAGAAACTCAAGCATCTTTTTAATGTCAACTTCAGAGTACTTGTGTGTACAATCAGAATGTTTTTTAACAAAATAATTTTGCAAATTACTAATGACAAGGTAAGTATATTTACGAGTTCCATTTTTATTGAAAAAGCAGCTGTCAATAAAATCAAAAAGCCTGGACTCTAATTTATCGTGGGGAATGGTTGTGTATAAAGTAGAAAAGTCATAAGTTTTTAAGCTGTTGATTTTAGTAAAATCTTGCGATTTCAAATTTTCCAAATATCATGAATTTTGACATTTTGCAGTGAGGGATCTTTATCGTGCCAACGCCTGCCGTGACACGGGGCCTCGGTTTTTAAGGTCTCATCCGAAGGACCCGCAACTTTCACTTCAAAGTGCCGAGAGCATGGCGAAGGAACAGTTGCTACCTATTTTTTATCGACTTACATGTAGGTCTGTCGCGGCAGAGATTCGAACTCACGACCTCCCGATCACGGAGCGAGCGCTCTACCGACTGAGCTACCGTGAACGGTACTACTTAAACGTAGAATTCAATTATAAAGGTTTATTTGTTTAAAATGTTGGAATATATCATTTATTGATGAAAAGAATGTTTAAAAAAAATTAGAGTTTGCATATTGCAGTACAGAGGAATGGGTTGAAGAAAGAAAAAAGTAAAATAGTAAAATCTGGAAAAAAATATTTTGTTAACACACACACACACACTCATATATATATATATATATATATATATATATATATATATATATATATATATATATATATATATATGTGACTTTCTCGTCTCATACCCAGTAACTCTAGTTCTGTTTTATCAACCAGTGACAGCGAAGTGTTCTTGCTGAGAAGGATTATTGTGTGAAACCACAACTTTTCTTCCTCGTCATTTTTAATTTCTTTCGTATAAATGTCTACAAAAATAAGAAGAGGACTAAACTTATTAAAGCAAATGAGAATCTACTCATTTTAAATCATGATTAGTCATTTGTTACAAATTCATTAAAAAAAATGTTATGAAATGAACAGACTTGAATTTAGAGTATGCAGTGAAGCTTTTACATAAGTTCTATATGTTCTTGCCCATGGGTTCCTGAGAAGAAGATTTTTAAAAAATGCCACCAAATTTTCACCATCTTTTTCATTATCTTTCCTTGAAAGAGGGCGTGGCACTTCCTGTGAACAAACTGAAATCCCCTTCACCCAAGGATTTTTTGTACGGGGATTTTGTCCTGATAACTATTCAGCCTTGATAGATGCAAAAGATCGATCTTCTTTTAATTCCTAATTTTATTATAGAAGAAGACAGTACAGCATATGAATGATTATGCTGAAAGTTCTTTGATCGCTAAGGTCAAACAAGGGTCATGTAAAAGTGAGTTGATTTTTTTTATCAGAATGTCTTGTATATCGTTGCTTGGATATTTAATTTCGCAGTACAGTTAAGGCAACATTTTCTATAAAAAGGCACCAAAAACGAGACACTTAAAGTTCAACCGTCTTATTTTTTAGCATGAAACTCTATCTGAAACATCTTAATGGCTTTATGAAGAGTTTGTCCATTGCTTTTCACATCGGTATTTTTTGTCATCATGTGACCCTCTACAGTCACGTGAGCTCCGATTTTAGGTCAAAATATGAAATGTCAAATTTAACCAAAAAGTGCAAGGGCAAGGCAAACAATATTTGAACTGTACAATGTTTCATTGTGTCCCTTAGTATCTATCCTATCGAAAAACTGATGCTCATTCAGTCAGATTTCTGAGATATTTAAGTTATTCATTGAAAACAAATACCAGTATTCAAAAATAGGGTATTTTTCATCATTTAATCGGAAATTTTAAATTGCCTAATGAATTACAAAGAAATGAGCATCACTTTTAAAAAACTATACAGTAAAGTAAAGAATTTAAAATAAAAACCTACCTCTTGGGTTGTCGCCTTGCCCTTGCACTTTTGGATTAAAAATTGAAATCTTAACACATTCATTCTAAATATAGTTTTCAAACGCATCATTGACCCAGCATGTGAGATAACTCTGTGATACTTAATAGAGTTTGTGTACCTCGCAAATCTTGAACAAATAATACTTACGGACTGTGCTGGGCTTTATTTCATTAAATCAAATTGGTATGCATAAAAAAAATCCTTGACTTTACTTTATTTTGTATATCTTCGTTCTTTTATACGATACACAAGACGTATTTGACACCTACCGCATTTCCTCCGTTCGTCAATAATAGGCCTAAAATTTGCCGCAGCATCATGTAAATCAATTGGAAAATGCCCATGGTTAAAAATATTGAAAGATTCAATCATTTGTAATAAAAAATAGACAGCCGCTATCAATGATAAAATATTTATTCTCCCCCAGTAGACACACACAAAAAATATCTCCAACAGAACTTAGTTTTTTTTTTTTTTTTACATATGTGATTATTTTAGTTATCAAACCTTCAACTGTTTAGGGATTCTAGACTACGTGAAAAGTTTTAAGAACAGGAGGAAGGGACTGGGGTGGTTACTCCTGTATTTAATAACCTGTTTTCCTTTCTATACACATAGGCGTCGGAAGGAAATTAAAAGTGGGTGTGGCTAATTGAAAGTGGGGGGGGGGGGGCTAAACCAACGAAAAAAGGTAAGCCTCAATTTTCAATGTCTATATTATGTATATCTTTGCAAAAAAAAAAGTGGGGGGGGGCTAAGCCCCCCCTAGCCCCCCCCCCGGTTCCGACGCCTATGCTACAGATCTAACCCCCCCTCCCCATCACCAGTTTGCCTCTGGCTTCTTTGATAACATTTACCTTACTTGCATGTAGAAAATAAATTATTAAACAGTGTTTACATCAGGTTTTACTTTTTTGGGTATTTAGCACAAATCACATTGGGGGAGGGGGGCTTTAGTCTCATTTTTTTTTAGTTATTATCAATCCATGCGCAAACAAGATAATCATAGTAAAACTTTGTAATCAAGAAACATAACTGTTAAAGAACAGGTGAACACAATATACATGCTGAAAATTAGATCTTGTTGGTACCCAAAAACACAGACAGGCGCGTAGCAAGAATGGAAGTGAAATGTACGCAGAGAACGGCTGGGGTCCGCTTTGAGAACCCCCGTTGGTCCAGGGCGAAGCCCTGATGAGGACCTAGGGGCAAAGTCCCTGGAAGCTCATGGGTTTTACCAAATATTTCATTCAAAATCATGCCATTTCGATTTTCGTTAGAAAATACATGACATAGTACTTAATATTGTTTTTATCACAAAGTTAAATACTTCCGTGCAAATTTATTGTACAGAGGCTGAATATTTTTTAAAATGATATATTGGTATCATCTACTCTTTTTTAACTTTCAACAACAAATATAATTAATTTCAATTATTAACAAAAATAATGTTATATTTCAAATCATATTCTAGTGGATCACAGCATTCAACGGTTGATATTTTCTCAAAGATCTTTAAAAAAAACTATCAATGTGTTGTAGAAGAATTACAAATTAATAAATGTTTTATTTGGTTGTGGCAATGATTTAATAAAACATTACAATTTTTTTTTATAAAGACATGGTAATATAAAATTTGAATTTGAATCGAAACAGTACAAGATAAAATAATTTGAAACAGAAATATTTGCTGAATGGTATTGATATTTTTTCTCTTTTCACAAATCCCTCCCTTCCCTCCCCCCATCCCATTTTTTTAATTGAAAACGATGTGTACACATCAGTCTGCGTATTTGTGTATAGGTAGCTATGCGCCTGTCAGAATACATTCAAGTAAAGATATTCAAATCTTAACAGCCTTCAAACTTTCACACCATTGTACTGTTAAAAATTCAAAGTATTATTTATCTAGAAAATTTATTTAATTAAAAACAGCTTTTCAAATTCAAAGGCAGGCTGTGAAGGGATTTCTGAGCAGGTGCAAAATATTTCAAACAGTCTACAGTTCAAACAGTTCTTCCGGATGAAATCAATTCTGAAAACAAAATGAAATACCATTATGGAAAGTTCATTGGTGTTTTAAAAAAGTGATACTCAAAACAATGCATTGAGTAACATGGAAAGCATATACATTACTCTACTATTTTTATTATCAAAACATTACAATAATCTTGCTAGGAATATGTATGGTTTAGAGCTTATATGGAGCATACCTTTTCATTTTATTGGTGGAAACACTTGCTGCCTGAATGAATTGTTCAAATTGTTTGGGAGTAGCTACAACACAATATATATGTAATGAGTGAATAACATAATGATTACTATTGTAGAATGAAATGACATTGCATTGTACAAAACAAACCATGCTATACTATATTTTCTGAAATTCATAAAATAAATGGAAGCAAACTTTTGATACAAAACTTTTCTGGGAAATTAAAACCTATGACATTTGCAAAAGTAGAATTGATTTGATTGATACTTAATTTAAGTAAAAAAAAATCAATATACTAGAGATAACATTTAATTCTTTCACCTATACAACATTAAAAAAAAAAAAATCAACACTGGCACACTATAAAATTAATGTGAATGCTTTAGTGTGATCATACCCAGTGGAGAAATTGATGCATCTATTTTGATAGTTCTAGGTGATGTAAATGCCAGTTTTAACCAGTTCTGTGACAGCTACAATGACAAAAGAATTATAGGCCTACATATAAACGCACATAAATACATGTATATACATATAAGACTGACTTAATGTACATGAAGTCAGACAAATGAAAATTCAAACATTTTATCTTCATTAATGTAGAAATTCTACAAATTTACAGCCTAGTGATACAGTAAAAGTTCTATGATGAATTTAAAATATGAAGCACTGGTAAAAACTGAAATCTTAAAATTCACATATTTTTGATTGCCAGAGGTATAAATTAAAATTTATAGGGTCTTATACTCTTGTATTTACAGTGCAAATACATTGTACACTGTTCAGTTTGAATTCACAAATACATTGTAAGTGTGACTGCATCTAAATTATACTATTTGATATCATGACGTGCTGTGCTTATATTATGTTACATGTATGCCAAAGGACAACATCATTGCATGTTTAAAAGTGTGCAACTTTCATAAGGCCAAATAAAAAAATATGTGTGGTTCCGGTTACCCGACCTTCCCTATTTTATACCCCGACCCTAAACTTTTTTTGGGGCAATTTTCATATTTTTTCCGGAATTTTCCCCGATTTCCATCAATTGCTCCAGTTTAAGTTTTAGTTTCAGCAATGACGGCCCCTTGCAAATCATAGTGCAAGTGTTTAATAGTGATAAATCCAAAGCAAGCTAGCATGTAGGTGTCCCCTACCAATACTGACTAGTATATTATCACACCACATCTAAATGCCATTTGCAAAGCAGTAATAGGTATTATTTAGAAAAAATTAAGAAAATAATTTTGTTAAAAAAAAAAAAAAAAAAAAAAAAAAAAAAAAAAATTCCCTACCTACCTACCCTAATTTTTTTGGAAGTGTAACCGGAACCACACATATTTTTTTGTTTGGCCTAATGTGTGTGTTTTTGTGTATGTAAGGGGGGGGGGGGGGCACAAAGCACTGCATTGCATAGTAATAATACATCTTATTGTACATGTTCACGGTTATTTTACGTCGATGTAAAGAATAGTATGTCTACATGTTAATACCTATGCACATATACACACCTTGATGAACACAAAGGGACCTAGGGAGGTAGTGCGGATCGTCTCAGTTTTCCATGATTTCCCGAAATAACGTCATCATCTTCTCATCAAAAAGATAAACAAGACCCAGGTCTCTTATTTTATCCCTATTCTCTTTAAAGATTGCCTGATTGTTGCATTTATCCACTGCATATCTCAGCTGCTGTCGCCACGTTTTTAGATGTAAACAACATTCCGTGTCACCGAGTGCAAGCGCTTGGCTGACGCCGAATGCAGCCAAACGACACAATAAAAAGAGAATTATTTCGAAGACGTGTTGTTACTTTATAAGAGAAAATCACTAATGTTTATTTATTTAAACCTGAAAATACAGACATTCGTTACAAATTCTCGCAATCATCATTAAATAGCTTTTTTGAGCTCTATTTCCTTATATGGATCTATCAAGGCGGAGCAACTGTCATGACGTCAAACCTCATTATGACCTCATTACCATATTATCCTCATGTGTAGCCTTAACTGTACTGCGTTTTGTTTATCATGGTAAGATCAGTTAATATGTGTGTAAATATAAATGAAATTATTCTTCATTAAAATTCTTATATTTGTATTCAACATGCATTTTGCTTATAAAGTGTGAGGAAAGCTACGGCATTCAAAACACCATAACACGGACAGGGGTCAAAAAGTTATGGTATGCGTTTTATTTTGACGTCACAAACATTGAACGCCGTGGAAGTGCACCGTCATAAGCGAAAATCAGAATTTACGCTCACATTGAACAGAATCTTTTGCAACGGCTCTTCCATTCATTATAACTTACCCGAAGGATACTACAGAGATTTTGAAATATCAATCAAATTTGCAGTCAAGGCAAGGAGTTAAAAAATGTAAAGAAAAAATAAGCATTGAATCATTATAGTCTCACAACTGCAATGGTGTATTCAAATAAATTTTCATAAGGCGCTAACTCACACACCGTTGCAGTTATGAGACTTTATCTTTAAAAAATAATGATACAATGCTTAAGTGTTTACACATTAAGAATTTAAAAAAATAACATAGCAGTACGATTATGGAGGAGACGGTAAAAATTTATCTTACTATTTTTTAACTTTGTTATTGTCGTTGTCTTTATAATTATGACATCTGTATTCTCAGATTCCTCATATGATATTAACTGCTGGTCGTTGTAAGCACATTTGCTTACATCTGTGAATACAGTCTCTATCCCATAAAGATGTGCAGTTTGAATATCTGAAGTGGAAAAAAAAACTATTTTAGAAATAAAAAATAAATCAAGAGAAAAAAGATCAGTTTTAAAAACAATTGTTGTTCATGTAAAACAATCAAATTTTTGTACATGAAACTCCATTCCCAAAAGATTTTCGTTGAAATTTTCTCAAAAATTGACACTCAATGGCAAATTAAACAACTTTATACTCATTGTTGCTATGTACCCGAATCCAGCCATGTTATGTGAAACCTTAATTAACAAATGAAAAAAAAAACTCTTACCGAAAACATTGAAAAGTTAGTAATGTCATGCTAAGAGTTTGGCGCTACACAGACACTGATCTTGTGAAAGCACACTTATGCAGTGAGAAAATATAACACTGACATACAAAATGATTCTACTGGAGCAATTGTTAGCAAAATAGATTTCAAGTGATAGAGAAACGTTTTTAATGAGAGCACTGATATTGGGCAATTCTGTGTGAAATGTATAGGATGGTAATTTTTAGAATCTCATGTCGGTATTTTTTTGACGTTACAGTGTTGTTGAGTTTGCTCCTTGGTTACAAAAATTATTGATTTTAAAAGTAAATAACATGAATTCTATAGCATCAAATGGAATGAAACCTCACACTTAAACAAAATATTTTTCACATATGAAAATATGCTCATTTTAAGTTTCTTGAAGATAGTATAAGAAAGATTGGCATAGTCCGTGAACTTTCCGAACAACCTTCTTATACATCAATATCAAAGTTTAACACTGTTTTTATAAATGAATCCACATTATTTTACTTCATCATTTCCACAAAAAAAACCATTGAGACGTCATGGCAGTGGGATATGAAAAAAAATCCGATGAGTGATATCCATGGGATAAAGGGGTAAACATGTCATAAATGTATATACATGTACATACTTATAGAAATTATATTAAATTTAGTTAATTAAAATAAATGGAAACGTCTACAAACTTATTTCAAGACATTTCATAATACCGACTTTATGATCCCATGCAAACACACCCTTAAAAGGATTAATTGATTGTTTGTTGTTTAACGTCCCATTTGAGAGAATTTTTCGGTCATATAGAGACGTCAACGTCAGCCGTCAGGACCATTGAGCAGTGAGGGTTCTTTATCTTACCAATGCCTACCGTGATACGGGGCCTCAATTTTTTAGGTCTCATCCGAATGACCCGCAACTTTCACATTAAAGTGCCGAGCGCTTGGCGAAGGAACAGTTGCTACCTGTTTTTATAGACTTAGGTCAGTCGCGGCAGAGATTCGAACACACGACCTTCCGATCACAGAGCAAGTGCTCTACCGACTGGGATACCGTGACGGTCCTTTAAAGGGAATATTTGATTTAAATTAGTCAGTTTAGTTATTTTTTTCTTCAAATAATATCTGTATTCGATATATGCCACAGACATATATATATGTATGTTTTGTGAAAAATTAGGCAGATGTTTCTTTTTGTTTTCTTTTTTTTATACATATATCTGTATTTAGCATATATCGTACTAAAACATTACCTTTTAATTTTAACTCTTAATTTTTTATACAATGCAGACAGGTTTTGAGGGAGTGGCCCGTGTAGCACAGTGGTTAGAGCGTCTGCTCTAGAGTCAAGGATGAGATGATCCTTACGTCGCAGATTCGAATCCACTGCAGGATGTGAAGACCTGTCCTTTGGGTGAGACCGTATAAACCGAGGTCCCGTGTCTCAGTAGGTGTTGGCACGAATAAGATTCCTCACTGCTCAATGGCCCTCAGTGCCAAATATAGATATAAAATTGCAGCCCTCCACCCGCAAAGGGACGTTAAACAACAAACAAACAAACAGCTTTTGGGGTATAATAGTACTGAAACGCTTTGAAACTGATTCTTTTATAATGTTAATTTTATCAATGGCTGACTGCAAATGTCAGAGCTATGTAGATAAAGAATACTGTAAACAAAACGATGCTACTGGAACAATTGTTAGCAAAATATATTTAAAGTGATAGAGAAACGTGTTTAATGATAGCACTGATATTGGGCAATACTGTGTGAAATGTATAGGGATGGTATTTTTGAGAATCTAGTGTTCGTTATCCCCATAATTTTATTTTATTTCTCAAATTACCAATTACAGTAAAGCGTTCTGATCTAAATGTTGCAACTGCCTGGTACATCCCCGAGTCCTCTTCTGTCAGGTTGTGAATATAGAGACATTTAGGGTTGAATGTGAACTTATCTATGTTGCTGCTTCCGTCAATTATTTTACCGTCCTTCATCCACGTCACATTCCCTGTGCATTTTGTCGAGTGTGGATCTAACATTAGAGTGTTTTTGTTCTGTTTTACTCCTGAAAAATAAACATAGGGTGAGTTCCCTATTCATCGAACACCCTCGTACTTAAACAAGTCCTAGAGAAATTACTACCTACCAAATACTAAATATCATAAAATGGAGAAAACCTTGGAATATGTGAATGAAACATAAAATGTTTTAGCAATTGTACGCTTTTCATTGAGTATATATCATTGGAAAAGATTTTTTTGAATTAGTCAGAATTCACTATGGGTTAGAGGATATTTTCTATGCATTGGACAAATGGCTATTCAATGGGGAAAAAAATCCTACCATTATCGAATTGGCCTTTTAAATACCTGAAATGCTTATAAATATGTGACATAAGAATACTTTTTTTATGAATCATTTAAAGATTAACTACCCTATTTATTGTTTCAGTAATTGACTACCTCTTTATCAATATAGAAATGTGGAAAGATTTTTCGCTGCATCAGATGGCCTTAGATAAGCTCTGCAATGCCTCAAAACATTACAACTTTTCAGTTGGCTTATCATTGTCTGACGTCATGGCGTCAGACAGTATTAGATTTAGCCAAGGTTTGTTGGTCAAGTCGTTCAATAGAATTCTTGTGATAACTTGATCTTGGAAACTTCATACTATCTTCACTATCAATTTTGAGAGTATGGCGAGTAAAGAAAACATGCTAAATACCCAAACCAGCCAGAGCATTATAGCTGCTGTCATTATTATCACATTATACATTACAGGTTATATAACATTTGGCCATTCTCGAATGCATCATTCATGTCCAGCAAAACAAAGGATTGAAGCTGGTCAGGTCAACATATGTCGATTACATGGGAAGAAATTCTGTGGATTTTCTCCGGTGTTGCTTTAGACTGAATTCAATCAAAGCGCAATTAACGCTAATCTTTATATTACCCATGAGAGTGATGCGAGACAAATGATGGCAGCACTGTTGAGGGAAGGATCCAACATTTTTTCAGATTTAAAATTAAGGCTTTAAAAGAACAATATAAGGCCTTTCATTGGAGGGGGGTGGGGGCGGCGGCGTGATTTCAATTTCCTACGTGCTCAATAATAATAATAACGAGTTTAAAATGAAACATATAATTATAGAAAATAAACGAGTAAACGATAAACAAATTAAAATAAAAAGGAAATTAAAATACATGTTTGAGTTTGTAACCCTTACTTTTTTTTTTAGAAAGTATAAGCGTACCACAGGTGACTAATTTTACCCCTTTTCAAGTAGTGCCATATAAAAACACTGGTTTTTTCATAAATATGTCTTCGGATGTATACGGGGTGGAATGGGCTGATTTTAGGGCATAGATGGGAAGGAGAGTGGCTGGGGGAAAAGAATTAAAATTTAAAATATTGAGAAATATTGCCTTTGAATGCGTAGTAGGAAGGGTGTAAATAGGCCATGTTTACCTTCTTCTCAAGGGGTAAGTTAAATATGCAGGGTATGGGGTAACTCACGATGTCTTAGAGGGACTTGTACACTATAGATTCTCCTTAGATTTAAAAATATTTTAAGGCTATAATAAAAAAGAAATCGCTAAATTTCAAGATAAATTTAATTAATTCTAAATAAAATTTAAATAAATTCCACATGCAAAAAGGTAGAAGAACGCGTGGTAGCAAAATGATATTGAGCATATTAAAGGAAATAAATGCTATAATTATCAATGACATCCGAGGAAAATATTTGTAAAAGTATTTTTTTTTTAGATCCACCTCTACAAGATTCTGCCATAAATTGTCTCGAATCACTCTTAGGGGAATATCGGTGATTAGCGCTAATAGCACTTGTATTGAGTTCAGCTCAAAGCTAAATCGGACGGGATTTCTTGGGATGATCTGTATCAGATTAACTAATGAATGCTTATAAATATTCAATGCATACTAAGTCTCTCTACCTTCAGAGTTTTTTATAAATCTACACATATTGATAACTTGCAGACGTTTGATTTCTTCATAGTTAAAAAAAAATATAAAAGTGAAAGACACGTGTTGAATGTTCTTTTGCTTAAATGCAAAAATGTTAGTTCATTTATAACACGTTTATTTTTTTTTAATAAAACATTTCTTAATTATCAACATTGTTCACAGATTGATGTTTAGCTTTAAAAGCACTGGTTATATCTTTGTATCCATGAACAGGCCTGTTGGAAGAAACTTCAGAAATTTTCGGTTCAGGGTGAAGACTTTCAAGGAAAAATTCTGAATCTGCTGAATTGAACTTTTTTTGTTTCTTAGCAAAAGAATTCATTTCATGACTCAGAGTCATGTTGATTACACTGTATTTAACTTTTCTTGATTCTTCACGTAAAATAAATTTGCTCAAATCAGACAAGCTTTTTAGGAAAGCTAATACTTGTAGGTCTTCTAGTATGAAGGATAGATCACATCTAGTTGTAATATATCGAAAACTCGTACTTATATTGGACATGTTAATTTTTTTTTACTTCCTCCAAACAAAGCTGTTAGTGTGGTAATAAACACGTTTACCATTATACAAAAAAGAAAGTCAATATCTATGGATTAGACAGTGTTTAATGATTTGTCTAGCTATGTTTGATGAATAGTGAAATAATGTATGGTAATAGATTTTACTCTAAGTAAATAAGTACAGCCTTTGATATGAAATTTTTGTATACAATTTATCAATTGTTACCAACCACGTCAGTCAAAACTCGCTAACTAGGTCATTGTATCAAGCAAAGTATTTGCGTAATGTTGAGAAATATACAACAGTTGACTTTTATTTACACACTGAACGGTTTAAGGATTTTCCAGTTTGCCCGATTAAGGAGCATACGGAGGGCGTGACTGATCGACAGAAAATGCTTACACCTCCGTGGCACATGATCCAACCTCTGATGTTTGAGAGGTCGGTGTATTCTCTGCTCCAGATTTGCTGGTAACGATAGCTTACCAAGTGAATTTTATCGATGTTTCTGGACGCAAATTGACCTTAGTTCCATAGTGCACTTAAAAGAAATATATCACCATACACACAACGGCAATCAATAATATTTTTTAAAAAAAAAAAAAAAGGAGATAAAAATCATTGAAATATTATAGTCCAATAAGTCTGACAAACACTGATTAAAAAATTATGGCGTTCGTATTTGCCACAAGATTAAAAAACATTTTATCTGTCATAATTAATGAAAATCAAACTGCGTATATAAAAGGATGATACATTGGCAAAAACGCTAGGTAAAATTTGGACATCTTTGAATACTGTGAATCAGAGAACCAAGGAGGATTATTTTTTATCTTTATATTTTGAAAAAGGTGTTTCATTCTGTAGAATGGAATGTTCTTTATAAAGTTTTAAAGAAATTCAATATATGGAATAACTTATTAAATGAGCAAGCATTCTATATACAAACGTGGTGTTTAAAATGAAAAACAATGAATGGCTTTCCAAAGTGTGCTCAATGACAAGAGGAATTAGACATGGATGTTCCCTATCTGCACTCCTTTTCCTTTTTGTAGCTGAAATTTTATCAATTAAAATACAAAATAATCGTAACATTAACGGTATCTCAATGAATTATCACGAAGTTAAAAATATCCACCACGCGGGTTCTTTACGGTAGCTATGAATGACGAATTATCCATGAAGAATACATTAGATGTAGAAAAAGCATTTGCAAATGTGTTGATTCTAAAATTAATATTACTAAAACAATATATTTTGCATGGAAGTATGAATAAACGTTTGACGAGCTTTATGGAATTAAAGTTACAAACAAAGCAGTTGAATGTTTAGGTATTTATTGAGGCCACGATAAAGAGGAATGCTACAGTAAAAACTTGATGAAAATATATCATGGAATGGATTTTTTTTGTATTATTGAAAAATGTTCGTTTTCGATGAGACATGTTGATTTGAATTGATTCATTCGTATATTTTAAAGGATCCTTCAGATTACACCATAAATACCGAGGCCGTGTGTCACGAAAGGCGTTGGCACGATAAAGATCCCTCACCGCTCAATGGCCCTGAGTGCCCAGTAAATGTCAAAATTTGAAGCCCTTCACCGGTATATGGTGACGTCTCTATATGAGTGAAAAATTCTCGAATTGGACGTAGAACAACATACAATCAATCAATCAATCAATCAATCAAAGGAAGAAAATTAACTTTTTTTGGTTAGGCTTGTATCATTCGGACGCTTGCTATTTCTAAACTAATATATACAATTATATGTGTTCCTGATAGTAATTTTGTTAAAAAAAAAATACAAAGATTATTTTTTTTAATTTTATTTCGAAAAAAAACGGAGAGAATTAAACGGAACACATTGATTGGTGACATATCACGAGGTGGACTAATCTACGAGGGCTGTTCGGAAATTATTAAGACATTCATTTCTATTCCGAAAAGGACAGTGATAAATTCATAAATAAATTCATACTAATTGTTAGGCCATTATTTACACACTGAATTGTCGACGGATTTTTCCGTTGTTTCCCGATCATAACACGGAGCATACGGTGGGTGACCGGTCGGCTGGGGATGCTCACTCCTCCATGGCACCTGATCCCACCTCTAATGTTTTGGAGGTCCGTGTTTGCTCTGCTCCTATTATGTATTGCTTAATGGACTTTTGAGCTTGAATACTGTTCGTTATCTCCATATATTTCATTCAAGAAAAATCGTTAACATTTTATAAAGAATAAATAAAACAAATGTGAAAAATTTCTAATTTACAGGATAATTAGATAAGTTCCGGTGAAATTATAAACATGCATATGTCTATTGACCTGGAACAGCATCGCTACATCTTAACGTCACGATGTTTCCGCATGTTAAACGATTGAGAAGCATTTGGCCTTCTTTCTTTGTTGTAACATTCTAAAAAAGGAACACCTTCTCTTTTCCTAAACGATTCTTTAAAAAAATATAATAAAATGTATGTTGCTGCTACCTCAGTGTAAAATATACATGAAGTGTCATATACAGGTGGACTTAGCATGATG